ATGTTCAGCTGTCCAGGTTTTATAGGAAAGTGTAAAAGGAGCCCCAAAAGCCTGTTCGAGTTGGGGGATAATCTTGTTATAAGACATCATGGAGGGAATATGGAGAATAATAGCGTGTGAAGTTTCACAGTCTAGATTCAGGACCTGAAGCACTGGGGAGAGAATAAAAAAGAGGGTCCACTGGCGAATTTGTTCTCCCCCTCCCACCAAGACTTTTTAAAATTTTAAATCTTTGTAAGGAAGTCTTTAAAAAATATTTGAAAGAGAGAAGCTTATTCAAACCTTTGAACAGTTCTGAAAATTTACTACATTCCAGCTAGGAAAGAAAGTATTATTTCAGGCAAACTGGAATGGGTGTGGGCTGATTACTCAGCACAGTCACTTAATCTTTCAGAATTAAGTAGGAGGGAAGCTATTTTAGTGGACTTCAATCTTCTTCCAAAACTTTGTCCAAGGTCTTTTCCAATGGTCGGTGAATTTTTCTGATTCATATCCAGCACCCTGACAGTTTAGTTGTACATCTGTAAGCTCTAAGGAAGTTGATTTCATCCATTTCTTTTTTCTTCATCTCTTGCCTTCCACCTGAGAAAACAAACATCAGTCCATAGGTTCTTGTTCTGTATTAGAAATTTGCACAATGTGTAATCTAAGATGGATCCAGCTGAGTGTTACAGGTTTGGAGTTTAGACTAAAAAAGAAGCATGGAATCTCTTCATTGTTTTTCTTTATTTTGAGAAAAGCTTAACAACTTGGACTGTTTGAAGGAGCAGTTACATAAAATATCTCCTGCTAACCAAGTATTTGGGACAAAGCACCACATTATTTTCTTTAGATTGCATCAAAGTATTTCTGCTCACAAATTAGAACCTTTCCACGAAGAATTTAGACTTAGAACATTTTAAACCTCGATAAACAAACAAAGAAAATAACCCTACAAAATTAACCTGCTTTTAGGATTGAGAAGTATCCAATTTATGAGGTTCCACAAGTAAGTTCTAAAGGCTTATCATTAGTTTATCTTCCTGTGGCTCAAATATTCCTGAATGTTCTTGAATGTCTCCTGGATGTGTACTAAATGACGTATGGGCTCACTTCACTTATGTTCTTTTATATCACAGTTCCCCTTATTTTGTGTTGGCTACAAAACAGTGAATTCTAGTAGTATATAGGATCTAAGGACAGATTCCAGGGTAAAAAAAAGGTGATTTACTAATGTCAGATTCAGGTGCTACTCTCAAAATTCCATAGTGAGTGGTTTAACAGCAATTTCAGTTATCTTTAAGAGCTTTTCAGTTCTATGTGGTAGTTATGGTAAAGAAATAACCAAGAGTTAACAATACTAAATTAAAGTTAAGTTGTTTACATACCAAGGATTCTAATTTCTTAATATTAGAAACTATTCTGCAAGATAACTATATTGATGTTGGAATTACACTAATGACACTGGTGTTTTTCTCGAGGTACAGGCAAGCCTGTACCTGAAAATGTAATTTATTTACAATAAAGGGATTGTATTGTGAAACTCAGTTACTTTTTAAAAAATATTTTAAAATTGATTTTTAGAGAGAGAAAGGTAGAAGAGAGAGAAACATCTATGTGAGGGTGAAACGTCGATTGGCTGCCTTTTGTACACCCCCATTGAGACAGCAATCTGGGCATGTGCCCTGACCAGGAATCTAACCCGTGACCCTTCTTTCCAACAGCTGATGCTCTAACCACTGAGCAAAACCCGCCAGAGCAACAATTTCTTTTTATTTTTGAGGGTTGGTTCATTCACTTGATTGAGAATTTTTGGACTATATTCTGAGTGTCTATCCTTGTGCCTGGAGATTAATGGAACTTACCCCTTGTCCCAGACAGAAAACATTTTAATGAGAGGCAGAGATAAGCATATAATATAATATGATGTGTTTGAATAGACATTAAAGGCTTGAATATAGAGAATTTCAAATGTGTACGGAAGTACAGAGGAGGAGAATGAACTCTCATGAATCTATAATCTAATTTCAATAGTTTTCAACTCTTGGTCAGACTTGTTCCACCTATACTCCCCACTTACTTCCTTCTCTCCTTTTATTTGGAAGCAAGTCTAAGAGAGTATATCATATAAGTGATGTTTTTGGACATTTGAATAGTCAGAGAATATGCTTGGAAAATAAACCATACCTGGAGTCTTGGGAAGAAGCATAGGAGTTAAATCTAGTAGGGAGTGAAGAGGTTTGAGTTCCAGGTGAATGGGATGGAACCTAACAATTATTGAATACTAGAGGCCCAGTGCATGAATTCGTGCATGGGTGGGGTCGCTTGGCCTGGCTGGCAATTGGGGCTGATTTGGGCCATGGGAGATTGGCTGTATGAGTGAACTGACCACCTTGGGGCAGCTCCTGTGTTGAGCATCTGCCCCTGGTGGTCAGTGCGCATCATAGCAACCGGTTGTTCAGTTGCTTAGACTTTTATATATATATAGACTAGAGGCTCGGTGCATGAAATTCATGCATGGAAGGGGGGGTGTCCCTTAGCCTGGCCTGCACCCTCTCCAATCTGGGACCACTTGGGGAATGTCTGACTGCTGGTTTAGGCCCGATCCTGCAGTCGGACATCCCTCTCACAATCCGGGACTGCTGGCTTCTAACAGCTCTCCTGCCTTTCTTCCTGATCGCCCCTAACTGCTTCTGCCTGCCAGCCTGATTGCCTCCTAACCGCTCTCCTGCCAGCCTGATTGACACCTAACTATTCCCTTGCCAGCTGGATCACCCCCAACTGCCCTCCCCTGCTGGCCTGTTCACCCCCAACTGCTGTTTCTATTGGCCTGATTGCCCACAACTGCCCTCTCCTGCTAGCCACCTTGTGGTGGCCATCTTGTGATGATGTGAGGGCATTGCACAAGGGTGCAAGGATCACCTAGACTTTTATTAGTATAGACAAATTTCTAAGTATTGTATTAGGTTCATTTAGCATTTTATTTATTTATTTATCCTTCCAATAGTCTTATGAGTGAGAGAATATTTCTAATTAGATTTCAGGCAGATTAAATTAACTTGCCCAAAGTCATAAAACTAATTAGTTTCTTCATTGAAAACCAACCTTGACTTTAAGGCTATTTACTTTATTTTTTAATACTCACCTGAGGATATTTTTTATTTATTTAAAATATATTTTATTGATTTTTCACAGAGAGGAGGAGAGAGGGATAGAGAGTTAGAAACATCGATGAGAGAGAATCATTGATCAGCTGCCTCTTACACACTCCCTACTGGGGATGTGCCTGCAACCAAGGTACATGCCCTTGACCGGAATCGAACCTGGGACTTTTCAGTCTGCAGGCCGACGCTCTATCCACTGAGCCAAACCAGTTCCGGCAGGATATTTTTTATTGATGAGAGACAGAGAGAGAGAGAGAGAGAGAGAGAGAGAGAGAGAGAGAGAGAGAGAGAGAGAGAAACATTGATCAGTTAATTCCCATACTCATCCTGACTGGGAATTGAACCCACCACCTTTTGATGTATGGGTCAACAGTCTAACCAACTGAACCACACAACCAGGGCTTTAAGGTTATTTAGTTTCCTGCCTCCTATAGCATGTGCACTAGATACAGAGATGTGAAAGGGCAAGATGTGTTTGGACAGTGGAGAAGCTGAATGCAGCTACAGAACTGTGTGCATATGTGTGTGTGTCCTGAGATGAAACTAGGAAAAACTGCTCAGGAACAGGTTGTGAATGGTCCTTAATGCCATACTAAAGAGATGGAATTTTGTCCTGAGAGTGGTTGGGATCCAGGCTGAGATGTCTTGAGGCATGAAAACAGTATTGCTAAATGAAAAAATGGTGCAAAATAGTATGTGGTATTTTATTTGTATGAAGTATTGAATAACCAACAGGAAAAACACAGGTGTGCATCATACTAGTATATATCTATGATAATAAAAGGGTATTATGCTAATTTGACCGGATGCCCTTCCTTCTGGACAAAACTGCAGCCAGCGGGGACTGCGGCCCCTGGCCATGGCAGTGGCAGGGGCTGTGGTAGAGGTGGCATAGGCCCCTGGCCATGGTGGCAGCAGTGGGCGGGGGCTGGGGCCAAGGCCCTTGCATGAATTTTGTGCATTGGGCTTTTAATATTTATATGACATTTCTAGAAGAACATATACTGTTTTCCTCTGGGGCATAAAAAGTGGGGGATGCTTTTTAATTCTTCACATCCACTTACAATTATTTGAACTTTTGCGAATCTAAAAGTCATTGAATTGAAGTTATTTTAAACTAACAATAGGATATGTGTTAATTTGAGGTCTACAAATGAAATATTACAATAACTTTAATATATATATATATTTTTTATTGATTTCAGAGAGGGAGAGAGAGAGAAACATCAATAATGAGAGAGAACCATTGATCAGCTGACTCCTGCATGCCCCCTACTGGGATCAAGCTCGAAACCCAGGCATGTACCCTTGACCAGAATCAAACCCAGGACCCTTTAGTCCACAGGCTGACGCTCTATTCACTGAGCATCAAACCAGCTAGGGTGCAATATCTTGAAAATACTTCTGTTTTATTCCTCTGAAATGAGCACTCAAGATGTAATTTTAATGCTTAGGAAATCCTTAAAAAATAATCACTTTTAATTTTGATCAACTAGGATCATCCACAGGTAGTGGAAATGACTAATCTGTTCTGTTTTCGCCTCCACCGACTTTCTAGATTTCATACATCAGAATCCACCCCCTGAAAAAGTCACTCTCTTTTGTAAGAAGCATAACAGCCATCCTTTCTTGTCTTTAATTTTATTGTTGAAAGAGGAGGAATAATCAGTCCTGAAACATCATGAGTAGGTAGAATTTAATTATCTGAATTGAATAACTCCCTGTAAACGGTAAGAAAAAGAAACCCGTGTGTACACATAGGTTCTCCAGGGACTTGCGATTTCATAATATAGCTTGTCTCATTTTCCTGTTATGAAATGTTTTTTTTTCAGCATCACTCTTCTTGTCTGTTTTCAGATCACGGAACTGTGTGGTGCCAAGCGCGTTGGTTATTTTGGTCCAACTCAGTTTTACATTGCCTTGAAATTAATTGCTGCAGCACAGTCTGGCCTTCCTGTGCGGATAGAGAGTATTAAATGTGGTAAGTAGCTCCCAGTTATACATTTTATTACCCATGACCCGTTCTTATTTCTGAGAACCATTTTTTAGTGGGTTTAAAGCCTATTCTATAAGCATTTGTGGAATTTCTTCTTACTTTATCCAACTCCCCTGGAAACTGAAATAAGAAAATGTAGCAAGTATCTTAGTTTCTTTTTCTTTTTTTTTAAGTGAGAAACATTCAGAGAGCAACCTGAGATTAGTTCCTTTTAACTGACTTGCCATTAAAATAGATCTTGTTCTTTAGCAGGAAGAGATTGGGACAGGAATTCCAGAGCCATGGCAAAAGAATAGCATTCAGTTTAATTTTCCACTTGAGCAGTTTATACTGTCATTTAAGGCTTTGTTCAGGACAAGGGGACAAAGTGTAAGTGGGAGAGTCTGGGTGGAACTACCCCATTCTTTCTCTCTTGTCCTTGTCAGTCATATCAGCTCTGATCATCCTTAAATTCCCCAAGTCTTGAAGCACCATTCTGATTGGTAAGTACTTTTGGGGTACCAATTTTGGCAGAATGAAATTATCTTCTCAAAGTTTTCATCGATCATTTTCTTACCTTGCCATCCCTGCTCCCAACACACTGTATACTTCAGCACTTTCCACAACTTGAACCAAAAGCAAAGCTCCAGACTCTTGTCATCATTTATATTGCCTCAGTATTGGTTTTACAAATCTATATGAAGAAGGTGAATATTCAGCACATCAAGCGATGTGCTGAGGTCCCCTGTAATTCTCTCTGATATGAATGATTTTCATATGTCCACACAGCATGCAGGAACTTTTTCCTTTTCCTCATATTGAGATGAAAACCACTCAGCTGTTTACACCTGTCCTGTGAAGTCCCTGGTAGACCTTGAAGTGGGTTCAGGACTTATGGTTAGTCCATTGTAACCTTGTAGGACGACTCCAAATAGCTGAGAAGATTCTCATAGCTTGGGGAAACACAGCCCTTTTACCCTAACCATCAGAGGACTGTGATCATTCTGCTCATCTTTATCAAAAGCTTAGTGTATGTGAGGCACTGTCTCATTTAGTCTTCACAAGTCCTACATTCAGTATTGATATCAGTTTGTGCTGCCTAGGATAAGCTGTGATAACAGACACCACTGAAATCTCGGTGTCATAACAAAACAAAGGTTCGCTTCCTGCTTTGCAGTGGGTGGGGGTGAACTCTAGGGCAGCTGCCCTCCATGTGGTGGCTCTGTTATTCTGGTTGCTTGTTCCCGTGGCACCTCCAGCACAGCACCTGTTCCCATAATTGCCAGAACAGAGAAATAGTTTCCCACCCTAGCAGCTAAATGCCTGGATGTGACTCATGTTACTGCTACTCACAGTGCATTGGCCAGAACTTGTCACATGATTTGTTGAACTGCAAAGCAGATTGGAGGGGTTGTAATTTTCTCATGTGCCTGCAAAGAGAGAAGTGGCCGAACAATGGCAGTCTTTATTATGTGACTGTTATTATCCTTATCTTACAGATGTGGAAATGGAAGTTTAGGGCAGTTGGGTAACTTGCCTAAGGATGCAAGGCTAGTAGAGTTGGGAGCCAGGAGCTCAGCTGCCAGTTCCTATGCTCTTCATTGTTATGCAAAGTAGCTTCTTCTTGATTCTTCTTTCTGTTTAGTAAGTGCTGACTGTAATCTGTTATCATGGAATATTATCCAAATGGAGAACAAATCTGACCCAAAAGGCATCCCTTGGTATTACATAATTTGGTTCCTTGAAACAAGTTTCTTGATGGAGCATAATTTCAGTGGCTCATTTAGTGTTTATTGCAAGACATAGCAGTCACTGCTGTTAGTCCCTAGCTGTAGTTAAACTCACATCACAGCGGATTTGTGGTGGGCACTGATAGTTTCCATTCCATTGTAAATGGGCATGAAGCTTTATTGTAGCATCTTCCAACTTTATCTTCTGGAGAAGTTAGAATTGTTTTGTTGTATACAAGAATGAAGTTCAGACACCTTTGTTGCTTATTTTAAGCAAGACTGAAATCTTTTACCTGCTTTGTGCCCAAATCTATAGTTCAGTTTCCGAGGGGGTGGGGAATAGGTGGGAGGATTGCCTGTTATCACTTGTGTATAGGATTAACACTTTTCACAAATACAAGGCTTTCACCGAATCTGGTTTGGCGCAGTGGATAGAATGTTGGTCTACGGACTGAAGGGTCCCAGGTTTGATTCCAGTCAAGGGCATGTACCTTGGTTGTGGGCACATCCCCAGTGGGGGGTGTGCAGGAGGTGGCGGCTGATCGATGATTCTCTTTCATCGATGTTTCTAACTGTCTATCCTTCTCTCTTCCTCTCTGTAAAAAAAATCAATAAAATATATTAAAAACAAACAAACAAAAAACAAATACAAGGCTTTCTCAGTTGTATTTTATAAATCCTGATGCCTTTTACCTCTGACCTACAAAGCTTTAAATGCAAAATAAAAAATAGAGGCCACCCCTAGACATTCTAATCTGTTTAGCCTGGGATATGACCTGAACATTGAGATTTTTAAAAAAAAGATAATGTTTTTATTGATTTCAGAGAGGAAGGGAGAGTGAAAGAGAAATGGAAATATCAACTAGAGAAATATCAAATACCAACTGGGGATCGAGCCCACAATCTGGGCAGATGCCCTGACCTGGAATTGAACCTGTGACCTCCTGGTTCATAGGTTGACACTCAGCCACTGAGCCACACCTGCTGGGCTAAACATTAGGCTTTTAAAGAGCTCCTCGGGCGATTCTTATGTGCAACCAGTGTTGAGAGTGCTTCTAATTGAAAGCTAAGTGGAACATTTTCAAGAGCTTTGCTTTAGCTATGAGTATTTGGTTATATCTGGGCCTGAACTGGGGTGAGGCAAGAGGCACCAAGGGTGCATAATTTAAAGGTGCCCTCACTCTCAGGGCCCTGCAAGTGTTGACTCTGCATTTACTAGTACATGGTCCTGAGACTGAGTGTCCCCTTAAATATTGGCCCTAGGCATCTCTTGCCTCACCTTAGTCAGAGCTGAGTTAAACAGCCAGGGTTATTTGTTGAACACCAGTAAAATACTGGGTGGGAAGCTTGCAAACGCTGTACCATTTACTTCTCCCCCCACCCTCATGTACTCAGAAGTAGAATCATTCTCTCTTAGGCAGATCAGAGTACAAATTATTTATGTGATCTTGTTCCATCTTTTCAGATCCTTTTTTGCAGAGTAGAAACAAATACCTTTCTGAGAAGACACCATAGGATTAGCTTATATTTGATTTACTCTTCTCTTATGAAGTCCATTCCTGTTTTGAGTGCTAGAGAGCTGCTGAAGTTGGGAAACATTAAAACAGTAAAAAAAGAAAAGAAAAAAAAAGGCAGCCATCCTTTCTTTAGGAGAGTCTCGGTTTAATTTTCCAGATTGGTTATCCTATTTAAGTCTCTTGGGCCCTTGGCTGATTGATCACGCAGGGATCTGTCATATTGCCTACTTCTTTGAATCAAATGTGGACATAGCAACTAAAAATAAACATGATGTGGATATTAGAGATCCAGGGGCCTTCTTTGCCTGGGGAACTAGGATACTTGCTGTTGCTAAGATGTTTCCTGGCTTTAGCACAGCATCAATCATTGGAAATGCAGCTGTGTTTTTAGAATAGTGAGCTGATAGGAGCGCAAAGGCACACTGAGTATTATTGTGAACAGGGGATACAGATGCAAATCATTATGCACAATTCACAATATTATCCCCATTCTTGGACTTGTTTGTGTTGTGTAATTTGCTGTGCTGAGAACTAGAAATGTGCCAAAGCGTTATTTTTGTTTTCAGAATAGTTCTGTCAGATTTGAAAGATAAGTAAATATATCAGACTGCTACTTTTCAGTTCTTTGTAGCCTTGCGGGTGTGGCTAATGGTTTTGACAGTAGGATCTGGCTGAACATTGGACTAATTGCTTTAACTTAATACCGTTTTCCTTATTCCATTATGAAAAGACTACTGGAGATTGACTGTGAAAGTTTATTAAGGAATAACATAGGATAAGAAACCGTTCTGCCCTGGGAATGAAGGACCATTCTGTAGGGCAGCAGCACTGGCACTAGTAAAGAGCCAGCTCTGGCACAGATGAGCTTGTGTGGTCTTGGGGATGTTATTTAGTTCTTCAAATGGTTGACATCTAGTTCCACATCTGTAAGTGAAGGCTAATGATAGTCTTACCTTATTGCGTTATTGTGAGGATTAAATGAACTAATATTTGCAGATCTTAATACAGTGTCTGGCATACAATAAGTGCTATATAAGTTTTGCCTGCTATCATTTGTCACTTATTTATATAATATCACATCTTTTTTTTTTTCTTGGTGCTGAAATAAAGGATGAAGTGGGAGATGAGTCCAAACCCTAAATTAGGTCCACAAAGACTTAATGGCATTTAAAAATGTTAAGCCAGAATACTTTGGTAAAACTGGTAGCATTTTTCTGTCTTGACATTATTATAAGAGTCCTTATTGTGTTGAAATAAAAATTTAATCTATATTTAGTGCTCTGGAAATTTTCCTCACAAGTGATTCATCTTTTGGACAATGAGTTCCCCTTTCCTCTGTTCTAAAATAAAGTCTCACTTCAGCTTCTCTGATTTTGCTCCTAAAGAATTGCCGCTGCCTCGATTTATGATTTCAAAGACCGACAGTGACATACGATTTGGGAACTCAGCTGAGCTGCATGGAACTAAGGCTCCAATTCCATATTTAATCTCAGAAAAAAATACCTTCAAAAGAATGGATGATGAGGATAAACAGGTAAACAATCTGATCAGGCATGTCCGTTTGACCATGAAACCTGATGTAGCAGTGCCTCTTATCTGCTGTCAAGCTTCCAGCAAATCGCACCATCTGGGTTACAATTACAGACTTGGAAGTGAGCCAGTGAAATTTCCTTGTAGCAAGAAATGGAGGCCAAATGCATAGGAATTATCATGAGCCACCATGGGCCCTTTAGAGCCTACATCAATGTAGAGTTGTATCCAAAGTAAGGCCACCAATTTAGCACACTCATTTGATTAATGTACTTCCAAATGAGTTTTTTTTTTTAAAAATGTATCTTTTAGGAGTTTTCCAAGAAAGTCTGGAGGAAAGGTTTCTCTGGCTAGATATGTTTGGATAATGCTGCTTCACTATTCTGGGGGAAGACTAAATTCTCAGTCTTGGAGATTCATAGTGCACATTAGCACGTTAAATGCCCTGAGAAGTCCTGCAATAAAGGGACATGGAGAAATGTATTTACTAAACTTCTTTCACCAGGGCATCTTTTTTTGGGGTGCAAGCTTGGAAAGTACCTTGAGAACTACTGTCATTGCACATTAGCAAGTTAGGAACAAGAATATGGAGGATGGGCTTTTAAAATTAGACCAACCTATATAATAAAAGCCTAATATGCAAATCAACTGAACGGTGGAACCTCTGGTGGAATGAACAGTCGCTATGATGCACATTGACCACCAGGAGGTAGATACTCAACACAGGAGCTGTCCCAAGCTTGCAGGCCCTAGGCCAGCCAAGGTGCGTGCCAGCGGGGCCTCTGATTACCCCATAGAGGGAGGTAACCAGTGGTGGGGGGTGGGACTGGACAGTGAGGTGGAGGCAGCGGCAATGGGTGGGGCTGGTGAGCCCCTGATTGACCTGCTGATCACCCCAGAGATCAGCCCTGATCACCGGCCAGACCTAGGGTAGGGCCAGACTCTACCTGTGCATGAATTTTGTGCACGGAGCCTCTAGTCTATATTAATAAAAGGGTAATATGCTAATTAGCCATCTTCCAGACATCCGGGTCGACTAGCCATCTTCCAGACATCCAGCTTCCTTCTGGGCAAAGCCATGGTGGTGGGGGCCAAAGCAGAGGCAGTTAGGGTTTATCAGGCTGGCAGGGGAGGGCAGTTGGGGGTGAGATCAGGCTGGCAGAGGAGGGCAGCTGAGGCAAAGTAAGCCCAGCAGGGGAGGGCAGTTAGGGGGGGATCAGGCAGGCAAAGGCAGTTAGGGGCCATCAGGCCAGCAGGGGAGAACAGTTAGGGGTGAGATCAGGCTGGCAGGGGAGGGCAACTAAGGGTGATCAGGCAGGTAGGCAGAGAGGTTAGGAGCGATCAGGCAGGCAGGGGGCAAGGTAGGGGCGATCAGACTGGCAGGGGCACAAGGTAGTGGTGATCAGGCCAGTAGGCAGAGGGGTTAGGAGTGATCAGACAGGCAGGCAGGCCAGTGGTTAGGAGCCAAGTCATCTTGGATTGCAAGAAGGATGTCTGACTGCTGTTTTAGGCAGTCAGACATCCCCCGAGGGGTCTCAGATTGGAGAGGGTGCAGGCTGGGTTGAGGAACCCCCCTCCATGCATGAATTTCGTGCACCGGGCCTCTAGTATATATGTAAAAGGCTAAGTTGACTCGCACATGCACGATACATATAAAACTCTCACTGGCGCCAGTTGCATGCATTACGTTTCAATCTATCATTGTTGATTGTGAATTTGGTTGACACTTATTATAAAGAAAGGGTGAATAGCAGTATTAAAATATTTCTTCTAATTAATTTCCTTTCAGTGTGCATAAATCTGTGCACCAGGACACCGGTAATTTTGTATTTAAGTGAGGTGTAGCATGTTCTTCAAGGATATATATAAAAAGGAGCATAGGAATCTTCAGTTTCCACTATTTGGCATGCTTTCCTATCAGCATTTGGAGAGGAATGAGGGTTTACTATCCCAGGATGGTTGGTGCCCTGGAAACTTTCTGGACCCATCTCCTGGCTGTGTGAGTAAGGACACATCCTTTTGGCTGGGTTTATGCTAGGCCCACCCAATCTGTGAGTGTGAGCTTACAGTTCAAAGCAAATATTCTTTCAATTTTCTTGAAGAAAAGTCTTAATCATTACCTCAGATTGCATTTTTTTAGAATAATAGCAATTATATAGTGCCTGTGTTGATAAAAAGTAGTGTTTCTTTGATACTTGGGCACTCTGAAATTACCACTCTGTTGGTAGCATTAAAATATAGAGGAGGAAACCCAGTAGCAGAGTAAGGTTGCTTTTCTTGCCTAGGATCCTAGAATTGAGATTCTAATTGTAACTTGCTTAAGGCTCCATCCTAGTGTTTACGAGTGGGTTAGTTGGAGTAGTTCACCCATAATTAACTATTTTGCAGACTCTTGATATAAAAAAAGAAACAAACCACTTGCCATTTTACTTGGCATAGTAAACTCTAAGAATATTTAGTATTAAGCATTTAAAATATTTTTAATAGCCACATTTGCTGGAAGACTTGAGTGTAAATCCAGAAAGAAAGGGCCTTTATTAATGAATGAAAATTGAATCTATTCACAAAGAGATCAAAATTGGGGAGTATGAATGTTACTTCTTGTGATGATCAGTGTCTTTTATTTTCCAAAGGAAAATATTATTGGAATAACAAAGTGTTCCAGGCTTGTTTTACTAATTTAGGTACCTGAGTACTGGTGAGACTTGATTCTCCGGGAGACTTTTGAATCCTCAGACACTGATTTTTAATCCAGCTGAATTTTTGAGAAAACATTTCCTCCATTTGTTAAACCAACTGGCTCACCAGCAGCAGAGCTGTGTTATACTTCATAACTGCAGCTCAGAGTGCCAGGCTTCTCCAGTGATTGCTTCTGAACTCTGCTCTGATTTTTTGAAGCAGGAAACACAGTCTCCTACGATGTCACCTCTCGCCTCCCCTCCTTCTTCTCCACCTCATTACCAGAGGGTGCCCTTGAGCCATGGCTACAGCAAACTGCGGAGCAGCATGGAGCAGATGCATCCAGGTAAGAGGCGATCTGCAGGCCAGCTGACCCGGGTGGGGTCTTAGAGACTCCTTAATCTATCAGGCAGCAATGCTGCCAACTGCTGAATCTCCGGACTTAATTACCTCTGTCTTTGGAAACATGGCTCAATTTAATTTTTTTCTCTCAAGCAAGGTTTAAAAAAATAAAACGAAATATATTTTAGTAATGCCTTGTCTCCTACAAACTTTAGACTTGTAAACAACGATTTCGATGATTTAATCTCTCATATACAGATTTCATCACACAGGAAAGTGGCATATTAAGGGCTTGTGTTGTTTTGGAAATGTTATTCTTTCCTGCAAACATACCAAACATATTTATGTAAGAACTGCTTTTATGGAATGACTTAAAAATATAATATAACTGCAAATGCAAGAGAGTTGATTCAACCGTTAAAGACTGATTGCATAAATGGAATTATTTAGCTCTTGTGTTTGGGAATAGGAATACAGGAAATGACAGGGAAAACATTTTGCTGAGAAGTGTATGGAGTGTCCGTTGTGGATTCGCCTGCTTGCTCACATTCTGGCTGTGATGGCGATGCTATTGGTAAAATCCGTTAGTTGGTTCTAAGGATGACACGCAGAGTTGGCTGCCTAGGCACAGTGCTAAAACTCCATAAATTCACTGCAGCAGCTTGTCCTCCTGGGGCTCAGACTCCTAGTTTAAGATATGACCAATTAAAGGTATTCTAGAATTGGATACCCATAATCCCCCTTTTTATTTTGTGGACTATGGCTGGAAATGACCCAGTTTCTGCAGGCTTTTGTTGCACTGAAAATAGTGGTGACTTCTCTCCACACACAGATATAAAATGTGTGCTAGCCTGGACCAGAGAGAGGCTGTAATCTTGCAGGAAGAAGCAGGTATAGCATAATGGAAAAATCTTTTGATTGGAATCAGAAGGTGTGGGTTTATGTGACTAGCTATGTGACCTCGGGCAAGCCATTTAACTGTTCTGAAGCATGGTTTCTTCTCTTTTAAAGTGGAGCATCTTGTAGGGGTATTGTAAGGTTTAGTGAGAACGTGAGTATAAAATCTGATTAGAAATTAAGTCCTTTGCAAATGCAAGATATTGTAACAAGAAATAATTGTCCTGGAACTTGATTGTCCTACTGATGTCTGAAACAGAATGGGGTTGAGAATTCATTTTCCTTTTGCAGTTCAGTCCCCCTCCTGCCTGATTTCCCTGTTCTTATTTATTTTTCAAAATATATTTTATTGATTTTTTTACAGAGAGGAGGGGAGGGGGATAGAGAATTAGAAATATCAATGAGAGAGAAACATCGATCAGCTGCCTCCTGCACACTCCCTACTGGGTATGTGCCCACAACGAAGGTGCATGCCCTTGACCTGAATCGAACCTGGGACACTTGAGTCCGCAGGCTGATGCTCTAGCCACTGAGCCAAACTGGTTAGGGCTGATTTCCCTGTTTTTAGAAGTGGGTTTTTTAAAATTCCTAATCTTATTTGGGCTTGGAAGTTGGAGTCCTTTGCCTAGCATGGTACTTAATTTTTATTTTAAATTCACAGGTGAGTCATTTTTGTTCAGTGTATCACCATGTCCCACCCTGTTTTTTTTTTTTTTTTTTTTTTTAATATTCCTTAAAAACCTTTTCTGTACTAGCTTTATTTCATGGCCATTCTCTCCTCATCCCATTCAAATTTGGCTTCCGTTCCCCCAGTGGCAAGGAGATAACCTGGTTCTCTCCATCTTTTTTTTTACTCTTCGTGGCACCTGTCAAGGTTGTTCATGTCTTTATGCTTTTTAAAAAAAAGAGTCAGGTAAAAATTGCATGTGATAAAATGCACACATTTAAAATACTCAGTTTAGTTTTAACAAATGGATGTACCCACGTAACCACCATTTTGATCAAGAATAGAACATTCCCATCACCTCAGAGATGCCCCTTTCCAGTCACCCTCTGCTCCCTAGTGCAAGCACTGTTCTGATTTTTATCACTATAGATTAGTTTTGTCTTTTCAAGAACTTCATATAAATATAATCATATTGAACGACTGTACTCTTACTTGTCCGCCATCTTTCCCTCAGCATAGGGGTTGAGATTCATCCATATTATGTATATCAGTAATTTGTTCCTATTTATTACTCAGTAGTGTTCCATCACATGAATGGATCACAGTTTGATGAGCTGTCCTCCTGTTGATGGACATTTGGGTTGTTTCCAGTGTTTGGTTGTTATGAATATAAGTGTGACATATGTTGTAATTTCCCTGGCACCTAGGAGTGGAATTGCTAGACTTAGAGTAGATGTATAAGAAAGTACCAAAAGAGTTTTCCAAAGTGGCTCTATACATCCCACTGGCAGTGTATGAGAGAGTTCATGCTCCTTGAAAGCATTTGGTATTCTCAGTGGTTTCTTTTTCTTCAGTGTTTTTAATTTTAGCCATTCTGTTAGATGTGAAGTACATCTGTTTGTGGTCATTCCTTTATTCTTGAAACATTGTTTTCCAAGTTTCTGTTATCCCTTCCTGGTTTTTCTCCTGCATTGTGATCCTTAGACTGATGAGCTGCTCTTCTAGAGGGTTCTTCTTTGTACAGCTTATCCATAGAGAGGAATCTGAGTGAACAGTCTCCTGTGTCTCAAGGAGTTGAGTTTCCTGGATCTAGCCATCCATTGGGAGGCTGTTCAGTCCCTGTAACTAGGAACAAGGTCATTAATAAATACAATGTTTACAGGCATTTCTATTTAGACTTCCCCATCTATGTAAGTCAAAGGAAGGGAGAATGTTTTTATCTGCAACTTGGGTCCATCTTGTGATTTTTGCTTCTAATTGATACTATTCACGTCAAAGCTTGTTAATTCCTGTTTTTATAATGCTGGTGGATTTTCTCCGAAAGGATTTTCTTTACCTATTTGCTTCATCTTCTGTCACATATCTTTAGGTCAAGAAGTAAGAGAAGTTCACATGTCTTTCTTCTCTCTCTCTCTCCACATTTTCAGAACTCAATTTCTCCAACCCATTTGATGGGCTCTGGATTCTCTTTCCTATTTTTGTACTCCATTTTGCCTTTGGTCTAGACCAGCGGTCACCAACCTTTCAGATCTCACAGACCACCAGTGGTCTGCATACCACTGGTTGGTGACCACTGGGCTAGACAGTAGCATATCTAAAACCTGTTAAACCTTAGCGACTCTGGTACTAAGCAATCCAGAGTTATTTTTAGTTTCTACCTTTTCAGAAAGGAGTTTTTCTACTGGCATAATTTTCTTGTAATATATTTTCTGGGGTCATTTCCCTGTTCAGTATTCTGCCATGATTCCTGGCTGGTGGGACATGTATTGAGTATGCCTTAAATCAGACGGAGCATCATCAACCAGACTGGAATTCAGAGCCCCTCTTCAGCTTCTCTCCTGGGCTCCTGTTAGTTTAATTTGCTGGATATAACCGTAGCTAATGTTCATTGAGTAAGACTTACGTGCCAGGCATCATGCTGAGGTCTTTATGTGCATTATATACTTCTTACCACAACCCTCAGAGGCCCATAATGCTATCCATATTATAAAAATATGTTTAAATAATAGTGATACATGTATATATTAATAGTTAAATAATATTTACATGCCTACAGTAAATACAACTATTCTTCCCACTGAACTTGTTTCTGATCTCCAGAGGCAACTACTTTCAACTCTTTCACTTGTTTCATCTGATGTTTAATGTGTTATCTCAGAATCAATATGTATGTTCTGCTTTTTCTTATGCATATTATTCTGATGTATTCATTCTAGGTATCTACTCACATGACAGCATGGGCTGCGATGTTCTTTTCCTGGCCCTAAAAGTGGACTTGGTGGGCCTACATTTCTCATTTCTGTCCATTTCCAGCCTGTGTGACTATGGGTATTTCACTTTTCTGGGCTTCAGTTTCCTTTATAGGTGAAATAGCATAATCTCTCCTCAGAGGTTTGCTTTGTGGATCAATTGAGAAATGTCAACATCTGAGCCTACCAGTTTCTGGCATATTGTAGGTGCTCAAATGTTCCCTAGTATTTTCTTTTGTGTTTTTTAGAATCTGGTATTCGTTTTATTTGTGAAATTCTTAAGTATTCTTGAAAGTCACCTGGTCACCATTCACTGGGTTGACTGCAGATGTAGAATCTTTATTGTGAAGTTACTCATGTCACTTCTAGTTTGACATGTACAGTTCTAGTTTGACATCGAATCTCCGATTGATGAAATCTTCAGCGTTTGTTTTATATCCCTATTCTTGGAGAAAAATGGTACTTCTAGTTCCTCATTAAGCCTCTTCTAAGGGGATCTAAGAATTAATATTTTTTTGCATTGAGTTGCATGTCTGGTGTTTTATTTGGGAGGAAGGAGAGTAGAGTTCAGATCCAGTTGTGGAGTGAGACAGCAGCCAGGCCAATGATGGCCTGAGTATCAGCTGTGGTGCTGATAGAGCGGATCAGAGCATGAGTCTTAGACTTGTGACTGCATGGGCTTCAGACACCTTTCTAGTCACAGGCAGGTGTGGCTAATCCAGGCTTTCCACAGGAGCAGGAAGAGAAAATCTGTCCTCCAGGCCTGGCCTCTCCAAAAAATGATCCTCCGAGTGGCTGAGTCTTCATTCGGCCTATTGATGAACAAGGTCTGTCTCTTCCAAGGGAAGAAGGCCCTTGTAGGTGAGGGACTGGAGCCATGGGCCAGATGTCCTCCCCACACGGTTCTCTCCTAGGCAGTAGAGGCTTCCTCTTTCCGAAGGGAACCAGAATCATGTAGGATCAACTTCCTATGGGAAGCTTATGACCATTCGTGTTCCAACTATGATACAGTTTACTGTTGTCCAAACCTTCTGGCATTAAGAGTTTAATTTGGTGTTCCATCAAAGTGAAATGATCTTAAAAAGCTTTCTCAACACCCGCCTCAGCTGAGATTTATTTTTAAGATCTGGATTATGTGCTTCCTGTTTATGTTTTCCTTTCAATTTTTATATTTTTAATAATTCTTAGCAGAGTCTGAAAATACACTAAATGATTTGTTTGGCCATGATTTTGATATGTTAATGTGTTTTATTGTGTTATAATCTTGTGTTCCAGTTTCTTGGATGAAATATAATAAGCAGATGTGAGCCGAGGAGTTGTTTGTTATTCTTGATGTGCTGTCATTATACCTTCTTTGTTTTAAAAAGATCACACTGTGCTAAAGGTGCTGCACTAACAGGCTGCTCTGCTCTCTGTGCCTAATTTTACTTATAAGTAAATAAAGAAAGAAAGCATTTTACTTTTTTACATACTTCCAAAAGCTTGAATTGTTAACCCAAACATCAGAAATGGTTTCATCTTGGATGATAATTTCTCTTTTCTATTGGAGCTGCATACTACATGGTTATGTTTAACTGTTTTTCTGCCCTATTGTCAAGGTCATTAAGTGTTCTGGAAATAAAAGGAATGAATAAAAGTGTTCATTTTTGTGGCTTAAAAAACCTTTTTTTTTTTAAAGGTAACAAAATTAGTTTTAGTTTGGTTATCAAATGATAAAATAATAAGTATAAAATACTTTTATTCTTAGTAAAAAAAGAAATAAAAAATAGAACAAAATACATTTATTCTTTTTTTTGTATTTTCCTCAACTTGGTTTCACATTCTTTCCAGAAAGGAAAAGAAGACAGTGCTATTTATTTTTCAAAAACAAACAAAATAAACGATAATATTGAGCCTTAGTACTTAAAATGCATACATATTTACTTCTTTGCAAGGGTGGGGGGAAGGGATAGGGGAATGAATGGAAGACTTTTAAATAGGGGGGTATATATAGAATTTACCTATCTCAAGAATTTGAACATTTATAACATGGCACTTTTCTAATGACTCATTGTTTTCTATCCCAATTTAGATTCTCAACATTTCACCCTTATAATTTATTCCTAATCTTAACTTGATGTAAATATTTCCCTGCCTTATCATAAATTGGTTGGATATCTTTAGATTGTTCAGTTAAATTGTACCCAGAGGCATCCAGGTTTGTTTGTCCTAGATGGCCCTATTCATATAATCTCTAATTCCTTTGATAATTCTGCCCTTAAAAGCAGACACTGTATCGGTTGGAGTGTGAAGTCATAATTCTTGGGTGGAATCTTTGTGTACCATGCTGACTTTCACTCTGGTTTCAGCTCCTTATGAAGCTAGACAGCCCCTTGTCCAGCCTGAGGGACCCTCATCGGGGAATCAAGGAACCAAGCCGCATCGGCATCAGGCTTCCCTCATCCGGGTAAGAGATATTGTGGGATTATGCCAATGGGAGACTTTGGGGACATGGTTTTTTGATGGGCCCTCTTTTTTTTTTTTTTTTTTTTTTGCAAGGAAGATATAAATCTGCCCCCTCATGCAAAGATTGTACTTCTTGTTCTGTTGCTTGTATATTTTCCTAAATCTTTTTTGCTATATATGTCCTGGCTGTCTCTAGACTAATCCAGGCTGGTTCCTGGCCATTGGTATGTCTCAAATGCCATTCCACCATCATCTACTTAATCATTAGGCACCTTCTTCAGGAGAACTTTACTTTTCCCAGAACAGCCTGTTGATTCTTTGCCTTATTTATTCTTTATTATCATTCATCCAGTGCATAGTTAGCTGTTGCCCATTTGTTTTGTGCCTCTAATTACATTGCAAGCTTTTGGAAGGCAGAGGTAGTCCTTCTGTATTCTCCCTCAGTGCCTAGTTCAGTGCTGTTTGGAGAGCAATTATTTTACAAGTGGCAGCAACTACTCTCATATGTAACAGATACAAAAGAAATATTATGGTAGAAGCACAAGTGATATTTCAGTTTTTCCTGGCTACACCATTGCTTAGAACATTTCAGCTTTCCTTTTTCCAGTGTTTTCCCTTGGATAAAGAGCTCTTTTTTTTCTGTGTCTACCACTGTTTTCTTGTGTAGTATCTCTGAGCCCTGTGCTGGGGAAGTCATATTCTCAACAAAGGGTGTGTGTCTGCATGAGAGAAGTTATGAAAAAACTTGGTTCACTTTTTGACCCCAAAGACAAGAGGAAGTAGGGTGATTTGTATAACATTTCAACTGTCCAAGTTAGGAAGAGGATCATTTATGTGCAGGCAGTTCTACTCAAAACATACTCCCATAAGGAAGTGGGCTGGTGTCTGGACCAAAATAGACAAAGCTAAGGAAGATCGTGGTGTTCACTCAATACCCACTGGGAATGGGCACTGTTAGGCCTGGTACAGAACGTTATCTTCTAAGGTGATAGTACTCTGTGTACAAAGAACTTCCTTAAAAAAAAATCTTTATTGTTGAAAGTATTACATATGTCCCCCTTTTTCTCCATTGAACTTCCCTAGCCCCCCATCCATCCCATACAAAGAACGTTCTTACATCCAATTATTTAGTCATAAGCAGAGTACTTATATTTAGTTTTCCTTGCCAATATAATGTCTAGGTGCCGTTATATCTATTAGTATAGATGAGTTAACTGAATGAGAGAGTTTAAGTAATGGGTCTAAGGTTATAGTCATAATTCCTAAGTAGCAGAACAAGAATTTGAACCCAGGCCTGCCCAATGTCAAAACCTGCACTTCCAAATACTTTGCTACCCGTTAGAGTCCCATGTTAGAAGGAGGTTAGGTTCTAAAGTTTCTGCATAAATAAACACTGGGTGTAGTGAAAAACACTGGAATTACACCCACGGTCGAGTGATGGTTACATTACGAAAGGTATAGGAGGGACTAGGGTTCATCTAAAAAATTCCCAGGGTGTGGCTGTGCATGTTTATGCAGAGTATATTCTAGCACTGTGTCGGTCAAACAGGCAGTAAGTCATGAACTTAGCAGTTCAGCTGGGGCTCACCAGGCCTTCTACCTGGCTCCCTGGATGGGATGGCCGTGAGCTCTAGCTTGAATTGGTGTTCTGTGACTTCTCTTCGAATCTTTAGGTCCATTTTTCTGCTGATAAAAATGCATCCTGGGCATTTAACTCAACTAATGTTTACTAAACACCTATTATGTGCTAAGTACTGTGTTGAGAATACAAAAATGAGGCATAGCACTCCCATTTTCTGCCTTCATGAAGCTTATAGGCTATTGGAGGAGATGGCCATTAATCAAACAATCAGAATGTGATGTGAATGGAAATTACACTGCTTTGAAGGTGAAAAGGGGCCAGGGGTGGGAGGGCGGTTATGACCTAACCTTGGCAGGCAGGGAGTGATCAAGGAAGGCTTCCAGCAGAATGATTCCTAAGTTTTAAGCAGGTGGCTGGGTAGGATTGGAGGAAGAAGGCAATAAGATAGAGTAATGTTTGTTTGGCACACAGACATTTTTTATGCTTTGCATTTTATACACATCATCTCTTTCACTGTTCACAGCTATTTTATGAGGTAATTTCTGTTATTATTCCATTTTTCAGCTGCTAAAACCTGAGGTTTAAAAGATCTTATTTAATTTTACTCGAGGTTGTAGCCAGGAAGTGGTGGGCTGAAGGTCAAACACTGGACATGCTTCCTTAGTGTCTGGCTCAGGAACCGGATGGATGGTGATGTCATCTGTTAAACTAAGAGGCCTTGGATGAAAAACTGGTGTTGGGAGTAATAGGGAAAGATCATGCATTCTGTGTTGGATGCTGGGAATTTGAGCTTTTGAGATAGCCAAGAGCAGGTGTCAGATGGTAGGATTTATGAGGCCAAAGCTTTGGGGAGAGCGAGGCTGGACATAAGAATTTGGCAGCAATCGGCCATTAGGAGGACTTATGGTATAGTGCAGAAAAAAAAACAGACAGGTGCTTGCCCAGGCCTAGCCAAACTCTGTGTGACCTTGGGGCAAGTTGCTTCTCTTTGCTGTAATATGAATGACTTGGAATGGATTTCACAGTCCATTGTAATAATCTGCAACAGTCTGATTTCCTTAATGTTTGTTTGGCATCAGCGGAGATTCCCCCCTCCCCCCCCTCCTGTTTGGAGCATTGCCTTGTGTCTAAGAAGAGAGCAAGGGGCCTTTTTTGGGACAGCAGTATGTGGTTTTCATGGCTGATGTGTTTTTCTTTCTTTAGTTCTTAGGTTTCCTTCTTATGCCCGTTAGATTGGTTTGGCTGGGCTTCACGTCCCAGAAAGCAAAATGCCAACCTGAATTAGTCATGTAGGTGAGGGGATCTGAAGTGAAGGTTCCTGGTGGAAGAGGATTAATACGGATATTCGGCATGGTGCTAGGCCAGGCCAGGGTAACTAATTCCCCTCACGTTGCCATTTTAATGTGCTGATGGCAGCTTCCGCTGTGGCCTTGTGTTCAAGTCCTTCCTGACTGATTAGAAGGGATGACTTCTGGGTACTGAGGAAGGCTTTCAAGGACGCTGGTCCAGCTCTGTTGCAGCTCATGGGCTTGGCATTTTAGAGGTACTTATGCCAAAATCAGCACCCAAACTTTGGAATGAAGACTCTTTTTGGTTAATGTTTTAGGAATTTCAGGTTTTCTTTTATTCAGGGGGTGGAGGGTTGATAGTGGTTTGTAAAGAAGTAAAGTCTTCTTTTCTGCTTCATCTTTTATCTCATGTTTATAGTTCATTTTATGGTTTACTTTTCACAAGTTATCCTAACTGTACACTATGTAGGCATTTGTAATTTTGCTGGCATAGGATTTAGAATTTCTCCCACTTTACTCCACTGTCTCTGTTTTTTGCTACGGTTGCCAGAAATTACCTTGTATTAAGACCCTGTCTCATTGACTCCTTAGCAACTTTTGACACTGCCTCATCACTTAGTGTCCATGATGCTGTCCTCTATTGCTCCTATGACTGTCTCTCCCTGATTTTTTTCATTTCTCCTTCCTCTGCCTGTCCCATACATATTGGAGAGCCCTAGATCCAATTCTCACTCTATTAGTCCTTAGTTATGTGGAGGTTGATGACCACATGTCTCCATCTGTCAGTCATCTTCACTTTAATGTCCCACTGTCACCTTAAACATCTTTCCCAGAAAACCAGCTTTCACTCCTCCATTCCTGGCTCCATCCACTAACTGGCACATGCTTGTGGCCATTGTCTCTGGTTTGGCTGTCTCTGACTCTCCCCTCACTCCTTCTGCCCATTGAGTTACCAAGTCTTGGCCATTTCACTTTCTAAATACCTCTCTTATTTGTCCATTCTTCTGCACTTCCTTGGTTCAGTCCATCTTCTGTCACCAAATCTGTTATATTGGCCTCTAACTCTTCCTGCTGCTACTCTTTAGATCCATTAATTATCCTCAGTGCAGACAAAATTTGTGAAAAACACAAATCATGCCCTCCTACTCCCTTGATTGAAACCTGTCACACACTACCTGCTGCTCTCAACATATCATCCACATTCCTGAACATGGTTCTCAGGGCCTGGCATTTGGCCTCCACTGTTCTCTTCAGTCACAGCAGCCCTCTATCCTATGGCCACAGAGTTGCTTGTCATTTCCTATATGGTCCATGTTCTGTGTGGAAACCTTAGACTTCATCTTTGCTTTGCCTTTGTTTTCTCTTTTGTCTCAGCTCATCGGTATGCCTTTCCAATGGATAACATGAAGCACGAGCATTTTCTGATATTTCTTGTATATGTGATGCTTTCATTTTTTTAATTCTTAAAAAATGATTCATTCCTCATCTCATTTATCTAAGAATCTCAGCTAAAGCAAGGGGCATCCTATCTTTATTGTTTTTTTATGCTGTTTATTTTTACCTGTCTTCAGGGATTTTAGGTTTGGCAAATGAAATATAATTTTAGCCAGATCTCACTAGAAAAAAAAAATCTTTATTTTAATTAATTGATTAATTAATTTATTTTATTGAGTTTTCACAGAGAAGAAGTAAGAGGGATAGAGAGCTAGAAACATCGATGAGAGAGAAACATTGACCAGTTGCCTCCTGCACACCCCCTGCCAGGGATGTGCCCACAACCAATGTACATGCCCTTGACCGGAATCGAACCCGGGACCCTTCAGTCCGCAGACCGATGCTCTATCCACTGAGCCAAACTGGTTTCGGCAATTATCTTTATTTTAAATAAAAAACACATTCACTTAAAAACACACACACACGTTTGTTCTTGATTTCAGAGAGGGATAAATAGAAACATCAATGATGAGAGAGAATCATTGATCAGCTGCCTCCTACATGTCCCTCCCCCCGCCCCTCCACTGGGAATTGAGCCCACAGCTCAGGCATGCGCCCTTGACTGGAAACAAACTTAGGACCCTTCAGTTTTACTCTATCCACTGAGTCAAACCAGCTAGGGCAAACACATTCACT